TTTTGAAACTGCTGACTTTTTGCACCGTGATTGACTTTTTCCTGACTTTTTGCTATTGAAATTTTCCACTCAGGGTGTACAAAGCACTGCTTTAATCGGAAGAAAAATTCTACAGAGCTTCTTCCGCGTTAAATTTTAGAAAAATATGAAAATCGATAGGCATATAAGGCTCGCTCCAAAATCACTAATCCGGCTTGCGCTGCTATAATGAAACTCTGTTTGAGCAGTTTTGGCTCGAGGAATGTGACCAGAAAATCAATCAGTAGCACCAACCCATTGCTTAAACCAGCCCAACGACCCGATTTGGAGCGAATCGTTCAGGATTTATTCGTGCTAGGTCACAATCGCAGAAGTTTCAAATCCGCAAGATTTGTTGACAATTTTCATCAAAATCACAAGGTACCAGGGGTTAATCTCTGATTTTATCCTTCGTTTGATTCAAATTAGTCCTATTAGGTCACAAAAATAGGTCTGTCCAGCTTATCTCTCACTCCAACTCAAAGAACAATGACAACACCGCTATAGAAAAAAATTTCTGAAATTTAGCTCCTTGAAAATTCAGTTTCGACTTTCAATGACAATTTTGAAAATTCTGATTTTAGTTGAAAGACAAAACTAGACAAATTGATTTTTTAAAAATCAGCAAGCAAGGCGGAAATTTTTGAGTACTCCGCTGCCAAAAGCGTTATCTTCACTTGTGAACCTGGAGTCTCTGAAATCCATGAAGCCATTAAACTCTATTGTGATGAGCGAACGAACCCTCGCGACAGGGCACGCAAAACATAAGAACAGTGTGGGCATGTCTCGAACACAAAAAATTTCTAATACATAAAACTTCTCTTTTTTCAGATTATCAAAATTCTATGAACAAAGCTAGAAGTGGCCGGTACAGAGAAAAAAGGTTTTTTCCACAAGCTCGGAATTAACTTCCATACGATAGATAGCTCGAAAAGAATAAGCGCGAATTTCCAGGTACGAAAAGCGGAAAGACATATTTGATGCAGACTACTTCATCAAACAATCAATGTCAGCCACACTAGATGCGGAAGTAAAACAGGAAGCAAATCAAGAGGTAGATGTTTCACTGGTAAAAGAAGGAAAACTTTAAATCTGAAAGGAAAAAGTCTGAACTTGAAACCCCTGATTTTTTGCAGCGTGATTGATTTTTTGCTGACTTTTTGCTTTTGACTTTTTTCACTCAGGGTGTACAACGTCAATTTTTACTGGAAATCAACCAACTACGGAACAATTTTAGCTGAAATTTTTCTTAGACCCAATAAATTTCAGATTGAGTGGTAACTCAGTATGTGATAGACTAAATTGATGTAGACATATTTTGACTAGCAATTTTTCCGGTTGCCAAGGTTTTATGGGCTGTTAAATTTTTGTTTCGTTTCAAGTATTATGTGTTATATTTCGTCTTTGTTTCGTCTCTTTTTTCATTGTGGTTTTAAGTTATATTTCATCTCAGTAGGCAGTTGTTTCATCTATTTTCAATTTTTTACTAGTGGTTTTTGTTTTACCTAGCTTCCACCATACTTTGTCTCATTTTATGTTTTACCTTGAGTGATAATTATTTTAAATTGTAAGATTTTAGTTACATCTATCATTGTGTTTCATCGCAAAAAAAAATTTTGCGCACAAGTGAACGACACGCGTTAGCAACACTAGACTTTTTCCAAACACAATTCTTGGTTAAACTTACAATCAATTTTATAATAAATTAGAAGTACCAATTTATCAACATAACAAAAGCTCCATAAACTTTTGTTTATAAAGAAGTTGTCTGCAAAAAAATCTAATTACAACTTGTGATTTAATTGCAATTTTTTTCAGACCAAAAACTTAGCAGAAAAATTATCGTGTAACGGTCAATCACTGCATACCACAAGCAGTGTGATTGATTTTACGTTTTCACACTGTTCAAAAAAAAACCAGAACAAGACTGCGCGCATATATAAAGAAAGCCCCAAAAGTTCCGACTGCCCCTTAATCAATATCGACTATTTTTTTGGGGAAAAAGTTATTCAAAAACTCTACGATTAAGCGTGAAAATTCAAGTAACGAAAATAAAACGACCAAATAGCTAGCATCAATTCAATTTGGAACAATTTTAGTCAGCAATAATTTGTCATGCATAATTAGACCGAGTTGCGCTTTCAGTATTATGAATAAAATCTTCAGAGCGCGCGTATCTTGGTCCAGGGCATGGCCAAACTGGCCATCTTCAAACACAAAGAATTTTGCAAAAAAAGATTGGAGGTAAAATATCTTTTTATATTTGATTTTAGGGAGTCGATATATTCAATGGTGCAGGAAAATTAATATGTGGAAAACTATTATGTTGAAAATTGACTAAATAAATTAAGCAAAAAACCATAAGTATTTCGTTTTCTTTGAAAGTCGAAACAATAGGTTGAAAAAAAAGCTGGTCAGTGTGCTGAGGATACATCTTTTTCTGTTTGTTTTTTACAAAAAAAAATTAAAAGTTCAAAAATAAATTTACAAAAACTTCAAGGCGGTTTTGTTAAACTTGTCTAAGACTGTAATTAGTTTTAAGGAACTAAGTACAGTCTTAAACCATGTACTTGTGATCAGATTTGACAAATATTTTGCTGTAATAAATGCTTTAAATTAAGTAATTGTAGAACAAGGTTCATCAAAAGTTGTCAGGGTTGCAAAAAAGAGAAAGCGTGTCAGCGTGTCTTATGAGCGGAATAATCAATTGGCTAAACAAAATGACTTTTGCGCAAACTTTTCAGCAATCTTGCCGCGACATAAGCTACAACATCGACTTCCACCTGAATTGCTTATGTTTTATGTTTTTCGTAAACGTTGGTTTATGTAAAAATGGGAAAATTACTTTAACTGTTTTCAAATCAACTCAAATTTATAATGTTTTTTTTTTCATTTCTTCTTGATTATAGTTGTTTCATGATGCATATTTTACGTTTTTTGACCAGCACACTGCTTCACTATAAAGATTTATATAGAAGAGTTATATTTCACCTACCGCGGGATTCTTTCAACTATATGAAGGGATCTCTATGAAACTTTTGTTTTGTGGGAAGACTTTGAGTTCAGATGAACCAAACAGTGACAACATAGAGTGACATCTCACTTTTAGAGATTTTTGACAGAAAAAAGGTTTATACTCTATTATAAGAGATTGTAATCGATTATAATAGATTAAAAGAGATATTCGGAAAAATTATAATCAATTATAATATATTATAATTTATTAAAATGTCTTGAAAAATATTACCATTACAAGGGATTTCGTTTAAACGTCTAAATTTGGCGCTTATAGTTAATTATAAATTTGATACAAATTCAATTATAATTGTAATATAATCTATTATTTTCTCTTTTTACTGAGTGCGGGTGGGCTCTTTGTCCATCCCCCTATCAGTCTGCAAATTTTTACAAGTAAAATTTTTGTTCAACTAGTTCGACTGTTTCAGAAGGTGACATGCAGACTAATTTGGCTAAGACAAACTTTTTTATTTGCATAACCAACCTTGTAAACCCCTTTTTACTCCATAAAACTGATGCTCGAACATGGTTAGGGGACCGGAGGGGGGGTGGGTTGGGAGAGCCATTGTCTTTTTCGTCGGTTTTGTTGAGATCCAATGATGCTTTTCTTCTTTTTATTTTCGCTGAGTCTTCCCTCATTATCAGGCCAAAATCTCTTCATACACTTTCTTTCAGTCGAGTCACACAAAAGCAGCCTAAATACAAGCAATCAAGTCGGCCATGAATTGAGTCGTAATTATGACCCTCGCTTATCGTTCGAAGAAGAGTATCCATCATACTATGATTATGAAGATGAAAAAGACAACGACTTCAATGACATTCCTGACTGCAGGTGCCTACCAGACGATTATGATATGCAACATTCGTATAACTTCGAGCCTCCAACAGGTTTGACGCTTCTTTCCATGATTTTTGTAACAAAATCTACTGTCCGCTTTTTCAGCATGTTGTATTTATAACAGCAAATTTCTACTGGGTTCTGAAAATCCAAAAATATTCTGAATTATGACTATGTAGCGATATTTTTTACTTTGATGAAAATATTTAATGAATAATCAAAGCCGCTGCAATCGCTTGTGGGGTTCATTTGTCGATTGAAACTCGTCATGTTTTTCTGAATATCGACATGTTCTGAATATCGACATGCGAAGCTGAAGCTGAAAATGACTATTCGTTGAACGGTTAAACTTTGATACCAAATAACAAATTCATTTGAAGGACTTACATATTTTTAAGTCTGAAAAAATTCATTTTGAATGTATTTAACATTAAAAAATATCCAGTAGCCGTAATTGATTCGGTTATAATTTAAGTATTTTGTTACTATTATCAGGTTAGAGTGAATTTTTTTCTTTGAATTGTTCAATCGAGAATTAGCCTTTTGTGCAAGTTAGGTTATGCTTAAGATCGTACTTTCAGGGATCATTTCTTGAGTGCGTATCTTGGCCTCTCGAGGCAATCTAGACGACCTTCGTCAGTCCGATGATGACAGATGGCGTCTCTCTTGAGCATGAGAGTGCAATCGAACTTCTGTTCGTTTGTTTCGATGATTGCTCACCATATCAGAGAAAGAGAGCTCGCAATCTGAGGGCTAGAACTATAACCACTGAACGTCCAATGTTTTTGAGACATGGATAAAATGTCTGAACTCCATCTTTCATCAAAACTTGCAAAGAGCGAAGTTGAAACTTAATTTGTTTTCATCAAGCAAATAAACAGGACAAGCAAATAAACACGTCCATTCAGTAATTGGATACGTATGGATAACATATTCTTTTGATAGACTTCAAATTGTTAAATCTGAAGGCATTCACTTGAATATATTCAATAAGAAAAAACATCTAGTAACCTAAATTAGTATGGTTATATTTTTAGGTTTTTCATAAAACTATCAAATTTTAGTGGGTAATTTTTTTCAAATTGTCAAATCGAGAAATGGACTTTTTGCAGGATACTTAACTAGTAAGATCGTACTTTCAGGGATCATTTCTTGAGTGCGTATCTTGGCCTCTCGAGGCAATCTAGACGACGTTCGTCAGTCCGATGATGACAGATGACGTCTCTCTTGAGCATGAGAGTGCAATCGAACTTCTGTTTGTTTGTTTCGATGATTGCTTACCATATCAGGGAAAGAGAGCTCGCAATCTGAGGGCTACAACTATAAACACTGAGCGTCAAATGTTTTTAAGATTGATAAAATGTCTGAACTCCATCTTTCATCAAAACTTGCAAAGGGCGAAGCTGAAACTTCATTTGTTTTCATCAAGCAAATAAACAAGACAGGCAAATAAACACGTCCATTCAGTAATTGGATACGTATGGATAACATATTCTTTTGATAGACTTCAAATTGTTAAATCTGAAATCATTCACTTGAATATATTCAATAAGAAAAAACATCTAGTAACCTAAATTAGTATGGTTTTTTTTTTAGGTTTTTCAAAAAACTATCAAATTTTAGTGGGTAATTTTTTTCAAATTGTCCATTCGAGAAATGAATTTTTAGCAGGATACTTAACTAGTAAGATCGTACTTTCAGGGATCATTTCTGGTGTGCGTATCTTGGCCTCTCGAGGCAATCTAGACGACCTTCGTCAGTCCGATGATGACAGATGGCGTCTCATTGAGCATGAGAGTGCAATTGAACTTCTGTTCGTTTGTTTCGATGATTGCATACCCTTACAGGGGAGGAGAGCTCGCAATCTGAGGGCTACTCATAAACGCTAAACTTTGATTATTTTTGAAAGATAATTTTATTTCGTCTGCACTTCAACTTGCGCTAAAAGTGGCATCAAGCGAAACTGAAAATTCGATTGTATCTGTCTCACAAAGTAAAATAGGCAAATATACACGTTCATCCAGTGATGAGCTACTTATGGGTAAAATATTCTTTTTATAGATTTTAATTTGTTAAATCTGAATTTGTTCACTTGGGTATAAAAATTATAAAAACATCCAGTAAGCTAAAAAAACTATGGTTATAAGTTTAAATTCTTCATGATACTATCAAGATTTAGTCGGTAGTTTTTTTTTCAAATTGTTCAATCGGGAAATAGCTTTTTTGCATGATTCATAATGACCAAAGTCGTACTTTCAGGGATCATTTCTTGAGTGCATATCTTGGCCTCTCGAGGCAACCTTGACGTCCTTCGTCAGTCCGATGATGACAGATGGTGTCTCTCTGGAGCATCAGAGTGCAATTGAACTTCTGTTCGATTGTGTCGATCATTGCTTGCCTTTTCAGAAAAAAGAGAGTTCGCAGTTTGAGGGCTACCTATAAGCACTGAACGTTGATTGTTTTTGAAAGATAATTTTATTTTTTCTGCACTTCAACTTGCGCCAAAATTTGCATCCAGCGAAACTGAAAATTCGATTGCGTCTATCACGCAATCTAAACTGGTATGTTTAAAGTGTTAGATTTTTTTCATAATACTATCAATTTTTAGTGAGTAGTAATTTTTTAAAATGTCCAATCGAGAAATAGTTTTTTTTGTTCGATTCGGAAGGTGTAAGATCGTACTTTCAGAGATCATTTCTGGAGTGCGTATTTTGGCCTTTCGAGGCAATGTTGACTACCTTCGTCAGTCCGATGATGACAAATACCGTCTTTCTTGAGCATGAGAGTGTAGATTATCCTGGTTGTTTGTGTCGATGATTGCTTACCCTTTAAAGAAAAAGAGAGCTCGCTATCTGAGGGCTAATTTTAAACACTGATCTTTTTTGGCTGTGAAATTATCGACAAGAGTGTTTTGTCTGAACTTCAATTTGAGTCATTATGTGCATCAAGCAGAACTGAAAGTGTGATTGTTTTATCAAGCAAAACAAAATAAGCAAATAATTTTGTCTAAACCTTAACCAATTTCGTATGGATAAAATATTCTTTTGATGGATTTCACATTGTTAAATTTGAAGACATTCACTTGAAAGTAATTAACACAAAAAACTTCCAGTAACTTAAATTGGTACTGTTATATTTTTTTTAGATTTTCATAATACTATCAGGTTAAAGTGGGTAGTTTTTTTTTCAATTGTTCAAAGGAGAAAAAGCCATTTCTGACTGATTCGTGATGGTTCAGGAAATATTTCTTGAGTGCGTATCTTGGGTTCTCGAGGCAACGTTGATACCTTCGTCAGTCCGATGATGACAGTAGGCGTCTGTCTACTGCATAAGAGTCCAATTGAACTTCTGTTTGATTGTGTCGATGATTGCTTACCCTTTCAGGGAAAAGAGAGCTAGCTAACAGAGGACTACTTTTAAACACGAAGAGTTGGTTGCATGTGGAGTACACAGCCAATATTGCTTTGTATGATCTTCAACCTGGGTCAATTTATTATCAAGTGAAACTGAAATTTCGGTTGTTTTATCACAAAAACTAAACAAGTAAAAAAACACGAGCATTCTTTAATCGAATTCCTATGGATAGCAAATTGATCTGATAGACACACATAATTTAAATTTGAAGACATTCTTTTGAATGTAATTAAAGTTAAAAACATCCAGTAATTTTAATTGGTGACTAAAATTTTCCTTTTTTTGATGTAACTATCAGATGTAACTATCAGAGTTTTTTTCTCATTTTTTTCAGTCGACAAATTTTCTTTCTTGCAAGTTGCATACTAATTAAGAACATACTTTCAGGGATCATTTGTTGGGTGCATATATTGGCCTCTCGAGGCAAATTAGAAGCTTTTCGTCAATCAAATGCTGACAAGAAGAGTCTCGTAGGAGCGTGAGAGTGCTTTTGAGCTTGTTGAACTTTATATATGGCGATGATCGATTATCGTGGTTGGGAAAAAAGAGCGCTCTATCTGAAGGCTAATATTAACTACTCAATTGTTTCATGATTTTGGATTAAAGATATTACTAAACTGACGTGTAGATTTTCTGATAACTGATACCATTGAAAGTAGAAAGTAGTAGAGCTTTGCGTGTCTTTTCAATGTAAAATAAGGTTTTACCAAAGAAATGTTTTTCTGAATTTTAAGTTTTTGCCTATTTTTCATCACTGAAACTGAAAAAATCTCAAAACACAAAATATTCACTTCCAATCAATAATTGGCTTGGTATCATAATTAAAAACAAACGTCATAAATTAAAATGAGAATAATACTAAAAAATCAGTAATAAAATTAAAACGAGTTTTTTAAATATATTGCAAAAATCAGGTTGGAGTTTCATTTATCTTTCTTTTTTCAATTTGTTCAATCGAGAAACGACAAGATGTGAAAGATCGTTCTTTCAGGGATCATTTCTTGAGTCCTTTGTCAATCCGATTATGACAAGAGAAGTCCCTCTACGGCATGATAAGTGCAATTGAGTATTGTTAATTTGTGTCAATTATTGCCTACTTTATCCACTGATTGGTTTTCTTTTTTATTTATTATGTTTCCTTAGTTTGAACGTTTAAAGCTGATAAATTTTACATCTGAATTTCAACTGGTTTCATTTTTCTCATCACGGGGAACTCAAACGTCGATTTTTTCATCGCGTTTAACAAAACTAAAAACCACAAGCGACACGTTTATTGTGAAACGGCTCTGTGTTGCTAAAACTTTTTATAGACTTAACTGAAATGCATGAAGACTCTCATTTCAATCTTTTCAAAAATACAATAAAGAATTCAGCACTTAAATTGATACGGGTTTAGTTTCTGAATTTTGATATGACTATCGAGTTACAATTATAATGTATATATATATATATGTGTGTGTGTGTGTGTGTGCGTTTTTTCAGTTTTGGAATCGAGAAATTACCTTCCTACAAGTTACGTATTAGACAATATCGTACTTTCGGTGATCAGTTTTTGAGAGCGTGTCTTGGTCTCACGGGGCAACCTAGATGACTTTTATCAGCCCGATGATGACAGTTGGCGTCTCTCTACAGCATGAGAGTACAAATGAACTTCTGTTCAGTTATGTGAATGATTTCTTATCCTCTTTGGGAAAGGAGAGCTGGCTATCTGAGGGCTAAATCTAACTACTGGACCGTTTCTTATCTTTTTTTGGTTATCTAATTTTTCAGCTTTTAAAGTCTACAAGTTTTCTCAGATTTTTCTGAAATGCCGGTTTTTTCATCACGTCAAACAAAACACAGAAATTTTCGTTCAATGGCTTTGTAATGATAAATAACTCATTTGATCAATTTCAAAATGTTACTTCTGATGACCTATAATTTAATGTAATTAAGAATGATAAAAAACCAGGATCATAAATTGGTACGGGCGAGGGTTTAGAAGTTTGATGTAACTATCAGGTTACAGTTGGTTTATATTTTATTTCGTTCAATTCAATCGATAACTTTTTCCTTTTGACTGATACAATAATTCGTTTTTCCAGGGATACTTTCCTTAGTGTAAATGTGCACATTTCAGAAATCTCGAGGCATAGTAGGCTACTTTTTTGATGCACAGAATTCGTCTCTCTATAGCATAAGAGTGCAATTGAAATTGTGTTCAGTTGTGTCGACTATTGCTTACCCTTGCTGGGAAATGAATATGCGCTATCTGAATGCTAATTAGAAGAATGTCACTGAACTGAGCTAGGAATTTCTAACTATTCGGATTTTTGAGACCAGTAAAATAGAAGAGACTAAAACTTCGCGTGTATTTTTAATGCGAAAACAGTAGCTGCAAAAAAAACGTTCGGAAAGCTCACAATGTATGGGATGTTTAAGTGTAGAAAATAAAAGGAGTATTTTACATGGGTCTTACTGATTTTCTTCATTCGTTTCTGATCAGTCTGGTTTTGGATTTCGTCTAAAACTCAGTTCAATTCTTTTTTTTATATTATAAAAAGCAAATTCTGCTGGCAAAAGTTGCTGGCATACAGCAAAGCTGTGAAGAGTATAAAACACGTGAAAGAGTGCTAGTTTTCAGAAATGGACACATTTTTTCGGAATTTTCATTTTCTGGAAGTTTCCATCATTGCATCGAACTATTTTGAGCTAATAATACAATACTGTAATTTGATATTTCTGATGAAGCATTTCAACGATTTATTGTAACGTAACGGTGATTATGCTTTTTGGGTGACAAAATTCTAAGAATGTGAGTGGCTGGAAAAACAAGATTATTAAACAAGAGTTTTATTTGATAAAGGTTGAAGTGGAAGTTCCATTTACTATGTCTGTCAAATTAATCTTGTAGTGGCTTGAACCTGGCTTAATTTTATTTTCATTTGTGATAATAACTCACATTTGTTATGGAGTTTTGTTTTAATAAAACTTAGTCGCACCTCATTCCTAGTTTTTTGATTCAACATACCTTTTTTCACCAATAACATCAAATTGCCCCATGTCAAGCAAGTCAGTTAAACATTGTAGATGATTGAAATTGTGTGTTGTAGCACATTAATTTTTTTCTAATTGTGATAACATCTCCAAGAAAAATTGAAATATCTCTAATTTTCGAAACACATGTAACTGACTTTTAGTTTTCTTTTCATATTTACTTAGACATTAAAGTTGACGAAGACAAGAGAATGCCCTATTTAATTGTATTAATTTTCAAAAACAATTTTTTTGTTTTACGCATATTTGTAGCATTTACATCAAAAAAATATTTTCCACTGATTCATTTTCCCTTGAATCATGTTTTCTAAAATATCAGTTTCCTCTGAGAGAATACTGTCGTCAAACACCTGTTTATACATCTTGAATATTATTTGTCGGGTATTTTTATGTTTTCTTCAACAGCAGACAGTACTTTTCATCGGTGCCAAGAATTTTCAATTTTGATTTTTAACCAACCATAAGTTAACAAAATTTCATTGCATTTCACTCACTGTCTAAAAAAGTTAAAAAGCGAGGTTTTTTATCCTGCAAAAATGATGGATGAGATTCAAAAATGATCTAATTAAGTTATATTTAAGCAGCAGGAAAAGCATAGAAAGTTAAGTGTATAAGGACAAAGATTTGAGCAAAAAAAGAGACTCCTCATAAACAGAAAGGATTTATCTTGCTGAAAAAACTATCGAATTAATTCCAAAAACATTTCATAAGCTAAGACTTTTTTTGTTGTCTGGGGAAATTTAGAAAATTTTTTCAATGGTTTAAAAATTACATTTTTTTTTGTTATAAGAGAGATTTTTTTCAAAAGTACTTGTTGTAATTTATCAAAAAGTTTTCATTAACTTCGCTTTGAAAAATACCACTGAAGTTTAAAAATTATGAATTTTGTAGATAAGAAAAAATTGTTTTCCGATTTTTTTTTGATAATCTGTGATACGGATATTTTTTAGCCCAATTCTTTGTCGAATTGTCCGAGAAAATAGTTGCCAAATTTTTCAAGCTACTAATTTGTTAACACATAAACTGATTGAGAAGCATTCCAAGCTTCGCTTGGCTCAATATGTGCTTTCTTATTGCTGTTCCGACTTTCGATACGAAAGTAACGGAATATTTGTGCTCGGGTGGGTTTTTTTTTCTTCAGACAAATCTCGACTTTTTAACTAGCCATTTAACAAAAAGTTTTGTTGTCCTGAGCTTGAATTTGAAAATATATTTCACCTGTGATTATTTTTCGTAAAGTTTTGGGGGTTTAAAGATTGCCATTTTGGCCAATTTGGGACAATTACCGCGCGATATGTTTCGCGCTATTAACGTGTAAGCGGAGATTTAACCCGTCTTAGAAATCGTTCAAAGTTAGTTGAAAGAAGCTTATTTGCCATAATTGATTTGGTCCAAGCAGCGAAATCTATCA